CATGTGGTGCTGGGGGATTGAACCGCGGTCCCTGATGCTTTGCCAAGCTTGTTCTAAGTAGGTGCTTTAGACCACTGAGCCATCTCTCCAGCCCAAAATGGAATAAGGTGTTTGTTTTTTTTTGTTTGTTTGTTTGTTTCTCGAATGCCTTCAGGGCACTTTAGGCCAGAGGGAGAGTTGTGAGGTTCGAACTCCAGCAACCTGAGGCTGACAGCTTTGCGGAAGCAGCCACTTAAAGGACTGAGCTAGAGCCAGGCCCCCCTCAGAGTTCCAATTTTAGATTGGGGATTTAAACTTGAGGTTCTGATTATTTCAGTTATTTATATAGTCTATGTTTTTATTTTAAGGAAGGGTCTTCAGGGTGTTCAGGGTCTCACTACTAGATCAGATTCATAGTGATCCACCTGTCTACAGCCTCCTAAGAGCTGGGATTATAAGCATAGTATATTCTAGATATTAGTCTTTGGTCTGAGAAACAATGGGAAAACATTTTCCCCACCTTGTGGACTATCTTTTCACTCTGTTGGCAATTACTTTTACTATGCAAAAACTTTTTAATAAGATGATATCCCAGTGGTTCATTCTTTATAATGCTTTCTGTGAGATCAGAGTTTTGTTCATGGTCTTTCCCTGTACATGTCTTTAAGAGTTCTGTCTATTCTCTCTTCCAGAAGATTTAGTGATTATACTTTTTACATTTTTTTATTCTTAAAGAGAATACAAACAGTTAAAAAAAGAACATTAGAAATGACACGGAATTTCCCTAAACAAAATGATATGAATTCAACAATGGTTGTTCGATTGCATATTGTTGTCTTTAAATTAATTGTTCAGATTACCAAATATATACCCATAGGATTGGTCAAGAAGTTATAAAAAATTAAAAAAGAGAAAAAATATTTGAGCATTACCTGCTCTTTTCAATAACCAGCAGAAATCAGCAGTACAATTATCCAAGCTATCCTATGCATGTATTTTTTTCTTTCCTTCTTTCTTTCTTTTCTTCTTTCACTCATCTCAGTTGTTCCTTCCCTTGGAACAGTTTCTTTCCCTTTCAAAATATTCATTGTACCTTTCAGATCTTATTTATTCTTTCAGGTTCTTACACTAGGGAGACAATACAATTTTGTACATATGGATCTAATTTATTTTACTTATGAGTATGGCCTCTAGTTGTATCCATTTACCTATAAAAACCTTGAATTTACTTTTTATAACTGGTAATATTACATTGTATAAAAATATCACAACATTTTTATCCATTCCTCAGTTGATAGTCATTTGGATTGTTTCTAAGATTTAGCTATAATAAACTGTGTTGCCATAAGCATGGTGCACATATATTGCTTTTGTGTTTTAAGTTGTTCTGGAAAAGTACCCAGTAGGAGAATAGCTGGGCTGAATGAGATCTCTAATAATAGCTTTTTTGAGGAATCTCCACACTGAGTTCCATAGTGCTTCTACCAGTCTACACTCTCACCAGCAGTGGAGAAGGGTTCCTTTTTCCCCACAGCCCCTCCAACATTTGTTACTAGTTGATTTCTTGATGATAGCTACTCTATATGAGATGTGATTGAATATCAGTATTGTTTAAATTTACATTTCTCAAATGACCAATGCTATTGAACATTTTTTCACATCGTTATTTACCATTTATATTACTTCATCTGTAGATTCATCTCAGATGTCCAATTTTTTGATTGGATCTTTTAATTTGGGGAGCCTGATTTTTTTAAAATTCCTTATATGTTCTATTTTTCCCTCTCCATTCAGAATTTTAATTTATTTAATGTAGTAAAACACAAGATTGCTGCTACAGAGTATGGCATCAAGTATTAACAATACAGAGCAAGCCAGAAGCAGTCTGTGTCACTGAAACGTGGTGGGCCAGAGTAATGCCCATGAAGGATTCCACACATCCATTGTAGTAGCTCATTGCCCTGTCATAGATATTTGTGTTGCTATTCAAGATGATTTTATTTTTGTGGGAATGCAAACCAAGTTTTTTGTTTAAATTATTGTATATTTAGTACAGGGTCTACAGGGCTTCACTATACAAATCAGGCTCTTAGAGATTCTCCTGTTTTAAGTCTCCCAAGTGCTGGGATTATAGGAACATACCATCATCATACCCAGTCTCAATCTCCATCTCAGCATGCCCTGAGGACAGAGCAGCTTGGAAGGACGGGTATCAAACCCTCTGTCCCTGTGTCTGCCTAAGCAGGGGCTTTCATCCACTGAGGTATCTGGTGGCCCTCCAAGTTTTTGTTTTTGTTTTTAAATAGAAAATAAAACATGTTACGGGCTGGGGATATGGCTCAGTGGAATAAGTCCTTCCCTGGCAAGAGCAAGGGCCTGAGTTCAGTCCCTGGTTCACCCCCCCAAAAAAAATGTTAGAATGGTACAGAATTTCACTACACAAAATTGCAGGAATTCAGCAATGGCTGTTGTATTTCATATTGTTGCCTTCAACATAGATTACTAGATATAAACATGCTAAATTGGTCAAAAAATTAAAAAGGAGGAGGAAAAAAAAGGAATTATGCATTATTGCTCCTTTCAATAAACCACTAGATGTCAACAGTATAATTATTTAAGTCATCCTATATATGTATACATATATATTTTTTCCTTTCTTCTTTCTTTCTTTTCTTCTTTCCTTCATCCTATTGATTCCTTCCCTTTGAAGAGTTCCTTTCTCTTTCAAAGGTTCTATTGTATCATTTGGATTTTATTTATTTATTTAATTATTTATTTTATTTTATTTTGAAGAGTGAAACAAAAGCTAAAATAAATGACAGAAACAAGATAACATACAACCAAACATACGTTACAGATTTTCAAAATAGGAATAGCTAAAGTCAAATCTGTTGCTCACATTAACAGATATAGTTATGCAAGATTGGACAAATAATTGAATACTAATGCTTGCTTTCAAGAAATCTTAATACTTTTCCTTGTCTTTTTAAAAAAATATTTTAAAGAGGGTATAATAATTGATAAGACATTAGAAACTGAACATTTAGAAGACCAAGATGAAAGGTATTCAACCATGGGTTTTGTACTACACATTGCTCCCCTTGATGTAGATGCTCAAATTGCGAATATCAGCACACAGACTTAGTCAAGGTGAAAATTCTAAGCATTATCTGCTATTTTCAAAAAACTGATGGAAATTATTAATACAATCATCTCAGCTCTCCTGTATATATACTTGCATGATTTTTCATCCTTCACTTTTTTCTATCTTTTCTCCTTTCTCTCATCTTCATTGTTTAATCCTTAAGATTAGATTCTTTATGCCTTACTATATCTATTATACCTTTTACGTTTTATTTATTCTTTCAGGTTCTTTCACTAGGAAGACAATATGATATTTTTAAACACTTTTTTAATATTTATTTATTTTTATTTATTACATTTATTTATTGTGTGTGTGTGTGGCCAGCTCAGCCCACCAGGGGGCGGGTCTGGCTGGCATGTGGTGCTGGGGATCGAACCGCGGTCCCTGTGCTTTGCTAAGCTTGTTTCAAGTAGGTGCTTTAGACAACTGAGCCATCTCTCCAGCCCCGACAATATGATATTTACACACATGAATCTGATTTATTTCACTTGAGTGTAGCCTTTAGATGCATCCAATTACCTATAGTAACATCAAGCTTGTCTTTTGTTATAGCTGAATAGTACTCCACTGCACAAAAATACCACATCTTTTTCATCCATTTTTATTGTTTTCTTTTTTTTTCCAGTTCTTTTTCTATTATTAATTTTATTGAGAAAACAATTGCAACGTGACAGCTTCAAAACTGGTTGGTAGGAGAGTTCTTTTTTTTTTTTTTTTCTCTCTCTCTAACTTTAAACAGATTTTTATTACACAAAGGTTGTCACATCGATCTTTATTTTGTACACCATTATTCTTCTACTCCACAGAAAGGCTGTTTCTGACTTCTGTGATGGCAAGCACTAGAATCCTGACTGTAACAGAACAGTAGTAGAAATGCCTCCATGATTTTAAGTTGAAAGCAGTACACTCGTACGTGGCTCTGGCACCCAGTTTAAGGAATGTACAAATGTTTTTGTATTCAAAAATACAAAATAAATTATGTGTAGGCATGGACAATGACAGTGGTAAACCATTATATATAGTTACTGAAACCAGCAACGGTGGGCATGTGGTTTCCTTGCATCAGCCCGCCTGCTCTTCATTTCCTTCATGTGAATCTCCAGTTACTGGGAGGACCCTGCAGGGCGCTTCCTGTCACTGCTCATGAAACAGGGCCAAGCACTTTCAAGGCTAGAACATCCCGCTGCCCATTCCGCCCCTCATTCCACCCAGGGCGCCCATGGCAGGGTCCTTCTCCTCTTAGAGATTTCTATGACCACAATTTCTGCCATTGTTAACAGAGAGGCCACGCCTGTGGCATCCAGCAGAGCAGTTCTTACTACTTTTGGTGGGTCAATGATCCCTTTCTCTACCACATTCAGAAAATCTCCAAGCATAGCGTCATAACCAACTTCACAGGAGCTCTGCAGGATTTTCTCAACTATCAAAGATCCTTCTACACCGCATTCTTTGCAATGGTCATCGCAGGGATTTTCAGTGCTCTCTTAATAATTTCTATGCCAATTTTTTGATCTTCATTAGCAGGAGTTAAGGTGTCCACGGCAGGAATGCAACGGAGCAGGGCACACCCACTACCCAGCACAATGCCTTCCTCCACAGTTGCCCTCGTGGCATTGAAGGCATCTGTGACCCTGTCTTTCTTCTTGTGCACCTCAACATCACTTGTCCCACCAACCTTCAGCACAGCCACTCCATCCGAAAGCTTCGCCAGCCGCTCATTCAGTATCTCTTTCTCATATTCACTGGTTGTAATTTCTAACTGCTCAGTGATTTCTTGAATACGTTTTTCAATTTGTGCATTGTCACCTTTGCCTTTTAAAAGCATGGCATCATCTTTAGTTATGATAACCTCTCCAACTTTTCCTAAGTTGTGAGGCTGAGCATCTTCAAGATTTAGAGTCAAACCCTCTTCTCCAAACACCGCACCACCAGTTGCAATAGCCATGTCTTTCAGCTGGTTCTTCCTATTGTCACCAAACCCTGGAGCTTTGACAGCCACAGCCTGAAGGCTAACCTTTAACCTGTTCAAAACTAGGGTATATAGAGCTTCTCCATCAATGTCCTCAGCAATTACGACCAAGGGCTTCCGGTGAGCATTGGCAATTTCAGGAGCAGGTACAGTGGACTGGACGCTAGAGATTTTCTTCTCGCTCAGTAGAACATAGGCATCCTGAAATTCACATTTCTGGCCTTTTGATATGTTAATAAAGTATGGAGAAATATATCCTCGATCAAGCTTCATGCCTTCAATAATTTCCAATTCATCATTCAGGGTTTTTCCATCCTTCACTGTGATGACGCCCTTCCGGCCCACCTTCTTCATGGCATCAGATACGATATTGCCAATTTCTTTGTCTCCATTTGCAGAAATTGTAGCAACCTGAGCAATTTTTTCAGGGGTTGTCACAGGTTTGGACTGTTTCTTAAGTTCAGCAATCACAGCATCAACAGCTAACATCACACCTCTCCTGATTTCCACGGGGTTTGCGCCTTTGCTGGTCTTCTCAAAGCCTTCCTTGGCACTAGAGCGTGCTAGGACTGTCGCTGTGGTGGTGCCATCCCCGGCCTCATCGTTTGTATTGTTGGCAACATCTTGAACAAGTTTAGCTCCAATATTATTGTATTTATCCTTTAAATCAACTGACTTTGCAACAGTCACACCATCTTTAGTTACCTTGGGACTTCCCCAACTCTGTTCAATAATCACTGTTCTTCCCTTTGGCCCCATTGTAACCGCGACGGCATCGGCCAGGAGGTCTACACCCTGAAGCATGAGGGCGCGGGCGTCCGCACCGAATTTCACGTCTTTGGCATAGGCCCGAGTGAGCTGCGGGGCCAGCGCCCGGGACACTGGCCTGGCCTGGCGAAGGACCGCGGGTAGCTGGAGCATTTCTGCGGGGCGGTGGCAGGAGCGCACGCGGTGAGAAAGGCCGTCGGCGGAGAGTGGAGAGTTTTTTATATGTTCTAGGCAGAAGTATTTTGTTTAAGGGACTGTTGGCTAAATTTTTTCCCAATTTGTTTTTACTCATGGTGATTTCTTTTGATGTGTACAAACCTTTCAAAAGATGATATCCCACTTATTGATCCTTTGAAGTTCGGTTTTGTTTATGAACTCTCTTCCTACCTCCATGTCTTCAATATTTCTAACTACTTTCTCCTCCAGAAGATTTGGTGTTTCTGTTTTAATATTTAGGTCCTCGATCTATTTTTAGTTTAATACATGATGAGAGACATGGGTCTAGTTTTAGTATTGGCATGTGAAAAGCCAGTTTTTCTGGCACGACTTATTGAAGGGACTATCTACCTCTAGTGAATATGTTTGACCTCTCTGTCAAAGACAAAATAACTGGGTGCTTTGAAGGTGTTTCTGCATTCTCTAATTTGTTACATTGACACTCAGGTCTGTTTTTTGCTATTGTTGTTTGTTTGTTTTGGTTTTTTTTTAACACTATGCAGTTTAACACAGTAGCTCTGTAGTATAATTTCATGTTGGGATTATAATGCTCCTTGTCTTGCATTTGCTGTCCAGAATTGTTTTTCTTATTCAAATTCTCTTTCAGTTCCAAATAAATCTTACAATTCTTTTATCTAGTTCTGTGAAGTATGTTGGTAATAATTTGATTAGGAATATGTTGAATCTGCATAATAACTTTGGAAATATGGCCATTTTCACTATATTTGTCTTCCTATCCAAGGGCAAGCATAGTTTTTTTTATTTTCTTATATTCTATTTGATCTCCTTTTTGATAAAACTATAGTTTTCAAAGTAAAGATCTTTTACTTCTTTTATTAAATCATTCCTGAGCATTTAATTTTTCTGATGCTATTATGAAAGTTTTGTTTACTTATTTTCTCTCTCTGTGAATTTGTTATTTGAGTGTAGGAAGGCTATTGATATTTGAGTTTGTATCCAGCTACACTGTTGAATTTGGTTATTAAGTCTGAAAGTCTTTCTTTCCTATCCTTATTCCTTTTAATTCTTTCTCTCTAATTGTTCTTTCCAGAACTGCTGCAAGTAGGAATGGTTATGATGGACATCATTGTCTTGTTTCTTCTTTTAGAATAAAAGCTCTCATTTTTCATAGATAAGCTTTACCAAATTCAGACAAAGACCATCTATTGTAGTTTTCTGTGGAGTTTTATTAAGAATGTGTGTTGGACCTTCTAAAATGCTTTTTCTGCATCTATTGAGATGATCATGTGATTTTTGTCTTTGAGTCTGGTAATATGGTATATTCCATTTATTGAGTTGTATGTGTTGAAACATGCCACATCCCTGGGATGAATCCTTCTTAGTCATGGCGTACAATTTTCTTGATGATGTGTTGCATTCAATTTGTCAATACATTACTGAAAATTTTTGCATCTATGCTTTTTAGGAAGATTGGCTTGTAGTATTCTTTTCTTGGTTAGATTTTTTTTCTGGTTTTGAAATCAGGGTAATACTTATTTCCAGGAATGAATTTGCTTCCCTTTCAGTTTCATTAGAGTTTGACAAGTGGTGGTATTAGTTCTTCTCTAAATTTCTTGTAGAATTCAGCAGCGATTCCACCAGAACCTGAGCTTAGAATTTTGCAGTTGAAAATATTTGTTCCTGGGCTAGGGTGATAGATCAGAGGTCTAAGCACCTGCTTGGGAAGCACAAGCAGTGGGATTTAATCCCTGGTACTGTGTGCCATATCAGCCCCCAAATCGGGTGTGATGGCACATTCCTATAATCCCAGAGCTGGGGAGGCTGAGACAGGAGGATCACTACAAGGACAAACTAGGTAGCAAGACCCTGTAGCAAATAAATGAATAAATAAGTAAATAAATAAATAAATAAACATTTTTCTTAATTTTTCTTTAAAATCTTTATCATGATTAATTTTCTAGAATTTTAATTGGAAATAATTGATAAATGTCACCAGTGTCCTCTCAGCACTTATTGATAAACCATATTTTTTCTTTCATACATATTCTTCATAGTGATAAAATATTTGCAGTGTAACAATTGATTTTTGTGTACAAATTAACTTCTTAATACACTTTTAGCTGGTTCCGTAATCATTTTATGGAGAGTAGTTGCTCAACTGCATTAATTTTATTCAAATATATCACAACTTAATATTCAATTATCCAAATATTCTAATGTGAATTAAGGCACTTTTCATATTTTTATATACTGGATTAAATAACATGAAGCATACTGTTTTTCAGATCCAAACATAATTTAGCTTTAAAACTATATTTGGGGCTGGGGAGATGGCTCAGTAGAATAAGCGCTTCCCTGGCAAGGACAAGGAGCTGAGTTCAATCTCTGGTTCTGAAAAACAAACAAAAACCCTCTATCTTTATTTCTAAGTCCTTTTTATGGTTTGTATTCATGCATAATCTCTTCTTTTTAGTGTTTGCTTTGTTTTTTTTTCTACTAACATGTTCATTTTATTGTAAATATGTTCCACAGATTTTTACAAAATAATTTCCTTATTCATAGATTATTTTTTCTGAGAAATATATATCGATCCATATTTTAAATGTTTGAGAAAATAAGTACATATATATATATATATATATATATATATATATATAAATGAAACCATTGAGTATATGACTCATCTAGCTGTTTTTTGACAGCCTGATCTGTCCTACTTTGAAAAAGGTATTATGTTGTCCACCACTATAAGTTAATTTTTACATGGTCTTCTCTGTATTCTTAGCTATTTAGAGATTTGTCTGGAACATTGTTGGTGCATCAAACTTTGACTATAGATTATTTTCAGCTTTTGGTTTTCATCATTATATAATAAAAATTTCTGTCCTATTTAAAGATGTTGTCCTTCAATTCTGTTACTTTCATAGTACCATTTTAGCTTTCCTTTTTGTTTCTTTTTGCCTAGAATATCTGCACACCACTTTGTATTCAGCTTTGTCCCATCAGTTGCACTTCAGTGGGAGACCATAGTACACTGTTGCCTAATATTCACTTCTCAGTTATAACTCTTCTTTGATGGGTCATGATTTTTCTTTTCTTCTTTAAATTGATTTTTTTAAAAAGTTAAAGCTCAATGAAATTCAGTTAGTAGTGATTAGAAGAGATCAAATTTTCTCTTTAAAAATAAAGAGAAAACATGCAAAGGCAATATGCCCTTAGACTCTTATCACTGAGTAACAATAATATTCCATTGCATGGATACACCCTATTGTGGCTTTGTATCTACAGTGTTCTCCAATGATCCTTTTTGATGACCCGTTTGGGAAATGGTGGGAACATGAGGGTTACAGCATAGTTGGAGAAAGTAGGTTATTGGTGCTGTACCCTGGAAAACATATTTTTTAGTGAGACCCATCAACTTCCCTCCCTTTCTTTCCTTCTGGTGCCTCAAGAGACCATCTTTCCTAGACCATGTGCTTCCTCCACTTAGTGCTATCTCACCAGAGCCTAAAAGCATCAAGGCCCAGAAATCACACACTGACACCTCTGAAACTCCTTCATTTAATTCACTCCTCTTAGGTATCACCGTGAAACAAATCTTACCAATATACAATAATGTGCGGGGCCAGTACGGCACACTGGGGCTCAAACCAGCTCCCTGTGTCTGCCTAAGAGGGGCTTTAGTCTGCTGAGCTATCTGGCCAGCCCTTAACCCATTTCTATGATTAATTGTTGCTTTCATTATGGTTGACTTTAAGAATTCATTGCATATTTTGAATATAGGCCCAAGATTCAGACTTTATAAATATTCGCCAGTGTAAATCTTGTTTTTATTTTCTTAAAATTGTTTTTAGGTGGGCATGATAGCACATGCCTATAATCTCAGTGCTCAGGAGGCTGAGGTAGGAGGATCACCTCAAATTTGATACCAGCCTAAGTCACATATTGAGTTCAGAGCCAGCCTGAGATACATAGTGAGACCTTGTCTCATAAAAACAAACAAAAAAACTTTCTCACATAAGAAAGATGTTTTAATTATTAAAAGAGACAACTTTTTTTTCATAGATTGTGCTCTTGGTATTACATCTAAAACTTCACCTCCAAATAGAAAGTATCTAGATTTTTCTTACATTCTCTTCTAGAAATTTTCTAGTTTCACAGTTTTTATAAGATTACATTTAGATATATGAGCCAGTTTGAGGTATTTTATGAAAGTTGAAAGGATTATGGGTAGCATTGGTGTTTAAATGTATGTACAACCATCCCTGCCATAGTTATTTAAAATCTACACTCTCTTCCTTGAGCTGCCTTTGCTCTTATCAAAAGACAATTAAGTATATTTGTGGGTCTCCATATATTCCAATGAGTTGTTTGTTTATTTATTTACTTATTTTTTTCCCTGGAACAAGTTGAGGATTCCTTATCTGAAATGCTTGGGACCAGAAGTGTTGCAGATTTTGACATGTTTCCAGTTTTGGTATACATAATGAAATATCTTGGGGATAAAATTCAAGTTTAAACATGAAAATAATTTATGTTTCATTTATATCTCATGCACACATCTTGAAGTTAGTTTTGCACGGAATATAAAAAAATTTGTTCCTGAAGCTAAGTTTCAAAGTGTAGACTTTCTACTCATAGTACGTCAGTCTTCAAGAAGTTTTGAACTTTGGATCATTTCAGAGTTTCAATGTTCATAACAGACATGATAAGCCTGGCCCTGCTCTGTGGACTGCTGGCAGCTGTGCAGTAAATTTGAAATAGGGAAAGGCTGGAACCTGAGCTTCGGTGTTCTTCATTGTTGTCTAACCTGCTCCAGATATGTTTTAGCAAAGTTTGTCAACATACACAAAGTATGTGCTGGGATTTATATAAACATTGCATTAAATATGCAGATGAAATTGGAAAGAACAGCATTGTAACAATATCCCATCTAACCCATGAACATGGAGGATCTCTCCAGTTATTGAAATGTTACGATTTCTTTGAGAAAGTTTTACAATTTTTGAAAATTTCCACATTGGTT